TTAAGCAATCAAACTTGGATTTGCACTTAGATAAAACCTTGAAATAATTAACAGTTTCAGTAGCACTAATATCATGATCTTTTAAATGTTGTCCTATGTTACCTTTACTGTGCTCATCATTGCGTTGATAAAGGTGTCGACAAGTGTAGCCGACATAGCTTGCATTACACAAGCCACATTGAAATTTGTAAACAAATTTGTAAACAACTCGCAAGCAGAGACCAACAGGGATGGGATCTTTGACATAAAACAAATTTTTAATTTCGAATGAAGAAAAAACCAAATTTAAATTTAAATCATTGCATTATTGCTTACATAAGGAACGAATATTTTTACTGGCCATTTTAGAAAAAGAACCTACATATGGTAGTTTAAAATAATAATGTAGTGGTGTTTGCATCGTCCAGTCTTTGCACAGAGTTAGTATGGTGGAAGAAAAAATTGATAATGTACCTAAAAATGGTTCTTTGAATGATGGATAAAGGAAACATGTTTTTTCTGAAAATGGATGTTAATGCATTAATATCTTTATGAAATCCCATCAAAGGTGATACTGATTTTAAATGTCCTATCAACAAGTGTGCGGATATGGCCTATATTTTAGGTGTATGAACAAAAGCTGAAATAATTGGTGAGAAGACCAGTATGTATTCTTTCTATAGACAAAGGTGTGGGTAAACCCATTTTTTGATTTAGTCAATAATGTGTCAAGGAATGGAAGCCTATTTTCTACCACTTTCTTGATTGTAAACTGAATGTTTGGATGACAAGAATTGAAATAATCAAAAAAAAAGATTAGCATCATTTTTCTTATTAAATAAACAAGAAATGACATCAACATAACGTTTCTAGTATAAAACGTAAGGACCATTATAATGGTGACTCATGAACAAATTTGCAAGTACTGGAGCCAAAGGTGATCTCATTGATGTAGTCAAACATGTAACCATTTTAAAATTACAAAGTGTGTTTGAGATGTGGCAATTACAAACAGTTTCTTTAAGTTCATTTTATTTCTACTACAATTGTTATCATCATTGTTAAATATATATTTTAGTCAGTAGATTTTTCTATTGACTTCCCAGCGGGCACAAAACGTTAATTCAACGTTGAAGCAACGTTTAAATGTAGTTGAAACGTTGAAATCATGTTCACAACATATTCTCAACATTGAATCAACGTTGGAAATATGTTGTGTATTTAACCCAAGTCTCGGTTGATAATTTAACATTAATTCAACGTTGAATTAATGTTAAAATTTGGTTGATAATTTAACAATTACAGTACAAACATGTATTCAACATCTTTTAAACGTCAAGTTAATATATAGTTTGCATTTCAATGTAGAATCAACGTTGAAAATGTGTTACGTTTTTCAACCAGAAACCTATTGCTTTTTCAACATTTTTTTTACGTTAAATAAACGTTGAAAATATGTTGAGATTTTAATGTTACAGTAACTACTTAAGTTCAACATCAAGTTAAAATATAGTTTGCATTTCAATGTAAAATCAATGTTGAAAATGTGTTACGTTTTTCAACCAGAAACCTATTGCTTATTCAACATTTTTTCTACGTTAAATAAACGTTGAAAATATGTTGAGATTTTAATGTTACAGTAACTACTTAAGTTCAACATTAAGTTAAAATATAGTTTGCATTTCAATGTAGAATCAACGTTGAAAATGTGTTACGTTTTTCAACCAGAAACCTATTGCTTATTCAACATTTTTTCTACGTTAAATAAACGTTGAAAATATGTTGAGATTTTAATGTTACAGTAACTACTTAAGTTCAACATCAAGTTAAAATATAGTTTGCATTTCAATGTAGAATCAACGTTGAAAATGTGTTACGTTTTTCAACCTACTCCCAACTCCTATTGTGTATTAAACGTTTTTTCAACGTTAGATACACGTTACAATTATGTTGAGATTTCAAAGTTACAGTATCAACATAAGTTCAATGTTTTTCAATGTGAAGTTAAAATATAGTTTTTTATATAACTTTATTTCAATATTGAATTCACTTTGAAATCTGGTTGAGATTTTAACATAACAATTACAATG